AGGACCGGAGTCAGACAAGGCTGTCAACTCTCTCCCTTCCTCTTTCTTCTGGTGGTCGACTGGATTATGAAGACCTCGACATCTGAAGGAAAACACGGAATACAATGGACAGCTCAGAACCAATTAGACGATTTGGACCTCGCAGATGACCTAGCCCTTCCATCGCGTACACACGAACAGATGCAGACAAAGACAGCCAGTGTAGCAGCAGTCTCTGCATCAGTAGGCCTCAGCATACACAGGAAAAAGCAAGATCCTCAAATACAACACAGAGAACAACAACCCAATCACACTTGATGGCGAAACTCTGGAAGATGTAGAGTCCTTCACATACCTGGGAAGCATCATCGATGAACAAGGAGGATCGGATGCAGATGTAAAGGCAAGAATTGGCAAAGCATGGGTCACATTCTTACAATTGAAGAACATATAGAACTCAAAACAACTTTCAACCAATATCAAAGTGAGAATCTTCAACACCAACGTCAAGACAGTCAGTTCTACTGTATGGAGCTGAAACATGGAGAACTACAACAACCATCATCAAAAAGGTACAAGTATTTATAAATAGCTGTCTTCGCAAAATACTCAACATCCATTGGCCGGATACCATCAGCAACAGCCTTCTGTGGGAGAGAACAAATCAGCTTCCAGCTGAAGAGGAAATTAGGAAAAGACGATGGAAATGGATAGGACATACATTACGCAAATCGTCAAACTGCATCACGAGACAAGCCCTAACTTGGAATCCTGAAGGGAAGCGGAAAAGAGGAAGGCCTAAGAACATATTACGTCGGATAATAGAAGCAGATATGAAAAGGATGAATAGGAACTGGAAGGAGCTGGAAAGGATTGCCCAGGACAGGGTTGGATGGAGAATGCTGGTGAGCGGCCTATGCTCCTTCACGAGGCGTAACAGGCGTAAGTAAGTAAGTAAGTAAGTATGTGATGAACCCCACTACTCATATGGTTTTTGGGATAATAACCTATAATTATTTCTCAGCAGAAAAAGTTAACTAAAACTTCTCAAATTAAATAACCTGCAAAATAGACTTTATTAACAAAATGATTACTTGGTTGAATTGTAGGGATTGAAACCAAAAGAAAACTGAAATAGTTGTCAATTGTGTACCCAGAATGTCTACTATAAGCTAGTTTCTCCACCAATTAACTTACTTAATATGACTACTAGTGAGGCTTCAATACGCAAAATGTGAACTTCATTACGTCACCATGATCGCTCACTGTTCATCTTTTCTTGAGACTGAACAGATTAATAGCAAATTTGCTGAGAAAGGATCCCTTCACTAAATTTAGTGTTTTGACTGGTTTTTATCACATTTTTAAGTGATCTACAAGATTTTGTTTCAATTTTACGAGGTTATGTGAGAGCCTAGTTTTAATAACCTTTCCAATGCCCCTTAGTTTTTCACAGTTCTCCAATGGTTTTATACTATAAACCCCCTGTTTCTCTGTGTGATCCTTGATAATCAGTAGATGGCTTGTGGACAAACAAATTAACAGTTTGATCTTAGCTTTCATTATCTAAGAGAAAATAGATAACTGGGCTTATGACAGGTTATTTTGGTATCCAGGTATGTGATTGGATGGATGAATGTACGATGTGTGACTAAATGGTAACCGTCGTTTTTATGAGTGGGGTTTTTCACTTCAGATCGTAACTACTGACATATAACAATCAAATTCAGTTCACAAATAAGTTGGTCAATAAACAATTTTACATGGTTCTTATCAAAATTAGGGATTAAACAGAGATTAACAAACACTCTAATTCACAACTGAATATTTATTTGATACGAGGATAAACTTTACGAGTTTCCTGTCTCTTAATATCACTGTCTGATCCATTTTCAGGCGTTAGCTAGCAGAATTTTAGCCCCTTTTTCCAAGTAAAAATATGTGCTTTGTAAGCAAAACCCATTGAACTCAAATCTTCAGCCCTTTTGTCGAGAAAATCTGGCCCAATCTAGTTAACTACTTATTAGTAGTTCAAATGATTTATTAAAACTATTTTGAATACTGATTTTCTAGAAATAATTTATTTCAATAATTTTGTGAAGAAAGTTGTTTGTTTAAAAATAATTACTATCCCAATTTGACATGAGATCAGGATTCATGAGAAAACATGTAGCCTTAGAATGGAAACCACCGGGGACATATAACGACTGTGGAAATAACGCTGTACGTGGTATCATAAATATGATTACTAGTATTCCATCAGGTATTATAATGTTAAGCCATTGAATAAATAGGTTGATATTTTTATCTTCAATCAAACAAACTAGATCTCGAATTCTGATGTTTTTTTGAATTTAGGACTACAATCTATCCGTTTATTTTTGGAAGTCATAAACGTTAATTGGATGATTTAAGCAATCGATACAATATGAATATAACTTCAGTCCATCGCACAAGCCAGTGGCTATATGGACACAGTAGCTAATTAAAAAAGCGATGATGTTTGATGCGAACAGTACTTGCTTTGAGTCCCGGAGTATGGGTCAACCCTTGGACCCAGGTATGTTCGTCTGTCGAAATTCGTGTCCTGGAATCCACTGCTAGTCATCATTTATCTCTGCTCCGAAATTCATTATTTGTGTTTTATAATCTCCTGGCAAATTATATAGAAAAAACTAAATCTATACTTTTTATGTTTTGCCCTTAATGTTAGTTTTTGTCTTCCAATATTGATAAATCTTATGACTGAACGCTTGAGTTAGTTTCTTAAGCTCTTCAAATGAAAGCAGGCAAACTCTACACGACAAGCTGAACACCAGAGAAAAATAGCGCGAAATGGGAAAGAAAGCTTTACTCTACGGTTCCTTTATGAACAGAAATTTTAGGGTATTTATAAAATTTCGGATAGTATTGGGTTTCTGGAATGTTCTGCAATTCTACTAAACATGGTACCAGGATAGATAATCATCCGATAGGAAATGCGACACGTGGCTCTTTATTTTCTATTCAATGCCGATTGGATAAAATGTTTCCTAGGGTTTTTAGGGCTGTTCTGAGCTTTTTTCGAGGAATATTCTGGAACATTCTAAATTTTGAAAAATGAAAAATACTTTAGAAGTATTTATTATTGCGGTTTGTGCGATCATTTTATGATATATATAATTAAATATTTCGTTTCCTAAACTCTCAACTAAATGCTACTTGTTAAGCTAGAAGTATACGCAAATATAGTAAGATAATGTGTTTTATTTGTGTACTCCCCAGTATATTATGTAAATCAAGCAAATACGTACTTTAAATAAATATACCACACAAATAAAGAAAATGAAATAATGAGGAGATAAAACACAGCATAAATAAATAAATAAATAGAAATGAGTGTATGAGAATGGTTCGTCAAATAAAAAAATCAGTCAGGAATAATTCTCTTAGTCAGAGGAGTTCCTCTCGCTTTTATGAACAGTGTAAAAAGGAAGCTTTTATTCTGATTTATGCTTGATAACATCTCAAGTCAATGTGTCGCTTTTCTCTAAGTCCACAATCAAGGAGTAGTGATAACAGACATATCCCAGTTTTATACATTTTTCCTGCGTATCTAAGCAGCTTGTCGTAAACTGATCGCCTTTGAATTTTCACATATAGTTCAAAAGTTAGTAATTAATGCATGATATAGAAGACTTTAATTTGGCGTTCGTAACACATGGCCAAGCCAATGAATCCGGTAGTTTAGGATAGTAACGCTAACTGTATTATCACGACTGTGGACGTGTACAGATTTTCAAACCTCAGAATCGCTAAAATATTGTTGCCACCGGATGTCAGATACCGCTTGAAGATATTGATATTAGGAATTAGAAGATTGTCTAACATCCTTACCAGGGTTGACAAATATCAGAGCTAAACAACTCTCATTGAAGCATTGTTGACTCGATCCTTTACAATTAGACTGTCATCACTACAGCATTAAAGATGGTTGAGACCAAGACAGGGTACGCCAACTTTCATTATATGCAATATAGTCTAACCCCTTCTACGATCACAGTTACCCAGATATACAATCTTTTCTAATAATTCTAACTATTCTCTACCAAGAGTGAATGCAGAGATAGCCTCCCACCAGTTTTGTTAAAGTACTTTGCAATTAGATGCCATGCAGACACATATAATTTTCACCAGTTAGTACATCGTTTTAATATTTGATTGTAATTGAAGCTACCAGCAATTCTCTCAAATTAGTTGATTCAAAACGAGACTTTCTACAGTCACCGAAATCAAAAGTATGTTTGGCGAAATCATGACATAATCAGAGCGTAGATAATAACTCCAAAGGTGTGACAGTCTTATACATAATTATACCAGTATTAGCTGATCACTATGTGGTCGATCTAAGTTCAGACTTGAGTTGCAAGTGTAAAACGCCGTACAGTAAACTAGCAATGACTTTTGCTGAACGTTGATACTCAAATCTTCATGAGACGATCACATTTGTTTGACGCATTAACTACAAGTCGCCTAATTTCATTACACTTCACGATTGAGTCATCACAAATTTCATTTTGATTTCAATCATTATGACATACCATTGTTCATTATTAACGAATATGAACTCTTGTAAACTTTAAGCTGCATCTCCTTTACTCAGTGTTTTCTTTCCGATTTTCATGGGTATATAATAAACAAAATTTTACAAATAACAAATTTTATTGTGTCTATAGATAAAATAGAATATCAAAAATATAATCTCAACATGGGCATCTCTAAAAATTGAACTAAAAAGAAATTAATTTATCTAAAGCGTAAACCAATGTACATGTATAAATATAAAATATAAAATTGGGTTTTACTTAGTGTAGTTCTCTTGTGCTTTCACTAAAAAAAAGAAGTAACTAATGAATAATAAAGTAAATTGTGGATAAGTAATGAAAAGAAAATCTTTAAGGTAGTCTCCATGTAAGGAAGTCCTAGATCAATATATCAATACAAATGAGTAGTATAAAAAAATAATATTTCATCTTTTACTTCTAGTCTAAATATGGCCGCCACATAATATTCTCTTTAGTCGTTTCATGATGATTTGTATGCGTTTCATTCACCAATATGTTTTCTTTTGATTGTAATTTTGATATAATAGAATTCATTTGTAAAGATGATGATTGAGGTGTATAAATACATTCATCAGACATATGTACTGTTCTTAAATGAATAGGATTTGTATGAATGAATGAAGGTGATGAATGATTCATTTCAAAATAACCACTATCATTTATAATAAACGGTAATTGGATTGGTGTAGATTGATAATTTAATTGAGTAAAATTATGTAAATTAGTATCTTTTATCTTACTTATAGGTGTAAATGCGCTCAATTCAGAAGGAATTAATAAACTTTGATTTGTAAGATTATAATTTTCTTTATTCCATGATGATGGTGATTGATGAATAGTTGAATGAGTAATAGATTGATTTGATTTATTAACGGTTATATCATAATGATTATTAGATATATCATGCTGTTTATTAAAGAATTTTGATCTAACTTCATGGCACATTTGTTTTAATTTCTCTTTCAATTCTATAGAACAATTAAATTTAAATAAAATACAAAAGAAAACAAAACAGATATTTCAGTGATTATTGGAAAGTTATTCAGGTCATTTCTATACAAATAACTATTTTGTCACAAACTACTTTGGTAGCAATAGTTAGTAATATATTTTTTAAACTACAACATTATACATATATAGCTTATATCGAAATTATCAAAAGGATGAATAGAAACTGGAAACAACTGGAAAGGATTGCACAGGATAAAGTTGAATGGAAAATGCTGGTGGGCGGCCTATACACTCCTCCACGAGGCTTAACTGGCGTAGGTAAGTATGTAATTCAGTTAAATCAAAATTAAATTTACTGATGAAAACAGCCTAGTTTACTCTTAGATATCGATTAAAATATTCAATAAATATGGATGATCTATTTCCATAAAACTATCCAGATCAGCAAAAGTTAGAGTTTATATGGTATAACTCATTCTCTGTAAATGATGTATATATGCATCCTTAAAATAACTCAATTTAGTGTAACTTATCTGCCAAATACAGGTTTGAGTACATCAAATTTGAAATACACTTTTTATACAAGCAATAACGATATTAACCAGATGGAATAATTTAATGTAGATAAAATCCAATTTCACTCTATAACTTAATTATAGAAATTTGAGTATTTTAACCATTAAACCATATAACAGAATAATATTAGCAGTAAACTAACCTGGGTTTTCATTCAATAATACTGCCACGTTTTTAAACACTTCATAACACATACCTAATATATCCACTTTTTCCGTTTTTTGTTGTTCTGATATCTTTGCGGAAAGAAATTTTTTTTTAAAAAAAATATTAAGCAGAGTTAACATGAGTGAATGCATGGTGATGATAACATTCAGTAGGAGATACATATTCATCGAAAGAAATAGTAATAAATTTCAGTTAACAAATATAAAGAAAAATTAAATCCAAGTTTTAAAAACTTTCATAATGATCACAATTGTTATTCAAATAATTTCTATAATCTTCCAAATGTGTTGGATAGAAAAACTTGAGGAAATCAGGATTATTTCAACTGAATAATTCGTGTTTTGTTTATCATTTCTTTGATTACTTAGCTAGAACTTCATTTATTGTTGTATGTTTTATGTTGAAGTGAAATGCCAAATGATATAATGATGATAATAATACTGTGTCGACATAAGTAGTATATAGCACCAGTCAAAATGGAATTCCTGGTAGCAGAAATTTGGGAAATACAAATCGAAGTGAACGGGAACAGAGGGTAATTGTTGTGGCAATGAATGAATAATGAAGTTTGGGATGATTGTTGGAATAATGGCAAATGAATTATTTACTGTGTGGTTCCTATATTTTACCACGATATTTTGTAATTTTTTTTATTAATACATTGTTTATCCTCTATTTGTGTTCTAGTTCATTAAAATATTACTCCTAATAATAAAAACTAGTACAGATACTCCGATGTCTACAGGTACTCATGTTTTGATTTCTCTCATCAATGGTAAAATATCAATTCACAAAATAAAACATAAACGCCACAGATACATTTATCCCAAGAAAGACAATACCGTTAATGTATATTTTTCTTGGGTTTTTTTGGCGTTATATACTAAAATTTACTTCTAGACTAATGTTCTTGAATAGTTCTTTGAAAAAAGAGAAGTAAATGAAATAATTCTGATGAATAACTTATTAATGATATATAGCGTTGAACCCATTCATTTTTATTGATGAATTATTATCTACATTTCAATTTGGTTTATTCATTAGTTTATGAAATATCACCAGATCTATGGGAGACTTATTTTTAAGTTAGTTACTAATGAGCAATTAAATTTACTATTTATTTATGTTTTTGTGCAGGTTTTGAAGAATATTCTACTTATTATGTTGTTGATGATGATTAATCAGAATTCAGAAACAAGGATGAAGCGGCTATCTATTGCTCCTAGTATAATATTTTTTAATAATTTGATGTCCATTCTGTATAATTTCAGTTTAACGCCATGTAATACATTTACAAAATCATTTCAATAACTTTATATCAGTTCACGTACATTTGAGTTCACATTTAATTTAGTCAAGCCCTTTCATTAACTTAACAGAGTCATTCGTACAACAACAACTTTTCTATACCAATCTACCTTTATTATTTGGTTGTGCTTTTCTGAATATGTATGCTTGAGTATTGCTTATCGCCTACGCCCTATATATATATATATATATATATATATATATATATGTATAGGGAAATGAATGCGTCATCGAATCATTTAGGCGACTAACATTAAAGCTAGTAGAATGAATATGCGCTTCGTATTCGTCTTCTGCCTTATACACGTTATCTCGTAACGGTTATCAAGATAAGCAGTAAACGAAGTTTAGGAATTATATCGAATACCGACTGCCACAACTTATTTATACCTTGAAAGTAATTATGATAAATAAATCTAATCCATTCTATCAATGTAAACATTTATATACAATTGGTTATATCAACGGAAAGCATAAATTCAATGATTGATTGTCTATGCAATAGATATATAAAATTTAGAGGTATCAATACCAAGGCTGAACTTGATAATTTCTAATAAATGAATTGGTTACAGAGTTAATAATAAATATATCATCGTTATTTCCCAATAAGTCGAAAAATTGTATTTTTGACGTTTTGTGATTTAATGTAAGCAATTAAATAACTGACATTCGGTCGTTTATTTACTCTGGAGAAGTGGCTTACATTAAGTCACGAAACGTCAAAAATACAATTTTTCTACTCAATGGGATATAATATATAGATAATACATAAAACTCGTTAGATAGCATTAAATAATTGATAACTTACATTTAATTCAATCAAATTCATGGCTAATTTATGTAATTCAGACATTTTATTTGCTATACATGCACGACGACTTCTTTCAATGTTTTGCTTTTTAATCTGTAGTTAGAAAAATAAAAGCATAAAATAATACTACAATTATTAATGGTTAGACATGAACACCGTTGGATGCCGGCTCAGTGGTATTGACGTTAAGCGTTCTCGCGCGAGACCTCGTGCCCTGGGTTTGAATGCCACGAGCGGGATCGTGGTTGCGCGTTGCTGAAGTGTCCCACAATGGGACGTAACAGTCGTTCAGTGATTCTAGGTCTTTACTGGTGGTCTAACATCAGTCGGTTCATGATTCCAATAAAAAGTTATCATTTGATGTAGAATTTGATTCAGGAAATTGTACATAGTAATCAAACTATTACTGATTATTTCAGAATATAAGATTGTAAATCAGTTCTTTATAAAAGGTATACCTAAATTTGATAAAATAAGGAAATTTGGTTGCGTACTGCAATTCTTTACAATATGACCACCATATCACCTTGATTTATTGTAGAAAATCATGATTTTTGGTGAAAATTAAAAAATTATGTACAATTTTCTGAGTTCTTTGATTTTCATGATCAAACCAATAATTTACCTCATATTGCAATCTAACAAGCGTAAAAATCTAATTGATATGATTCCCAATTAATTTGTCATAATCCTTCTGCTTCGGTTTGTTGATAAGCAATAGCAAATAATTAATCTTTTGGAATTTCGTGAGAATGTTAATACAGTATTTAAACATTCTTTTATATCACACCGAACAAACTAGGTTGTAGTGGCTAGAACGTCACACCAACTTATTTTATTGTTTATTCTCCAACGTTGACTTCGCTAATAGTTGGTTTGTAATCTATAGCATTCCTTTATACATGAGTTGTACAAAATGAGACGATTTATCATTCTTTGAGTCAGTTTATCGCCAAACTCCATCGCTCACTATATTCATTGCATCTCATACTTTTTATTTGGCGTTTATTATTCGTAGCATGAATTATCAATTTCCTAAACGTATTCGACTTTTATCTACTTTGATTTCACATAATCGGTCGACATTGTAAATATTAAGTAAATAAGGATCAATATTGTGTTAATCTCATGCAATTATTGTAGTCAACTAATGAAATCGTCAGTGTTTACGCAAGGTACTAATCAACGAATGACCACAGCTAAATTTAAGTAGTTCTTAAACTGATCATTACTGTTTTAATCTAGTAAGATTTACATTAAAATATGAAGATGGAATAATTAATTTATTCAACCAAAAATTACAACCCTTATTTATCAAATAGTCATTAATAACAATATCCGACAACTATTTACAGATGCAGTTTAGATAAACAGTACTTTTGGACCATTACAAACTGGAATCTCTGCTTAAAACGTTTTAATGTAGTAATTAAATGGACGAGATGATTTCATAATATTTTGATAGAATTTTATAAATCGAAAAGTGTATTTCTTAGTGTTATAGTTGAGAGTAATGGTTAACACATAAAATCAATTACATGGTTAGGCCGTTGATTTTTGTCGGATGCTTATCATATCTTAACATCTGGATAATAGACATAACTTAATTGTATAGATTACTAATATTCAGGATGTCAGAATATACAAGCTAATTATAAGCTATGCAGATAGCACAGAGCTTTCTCTTAATGAACTGCGTTCTGGTAATAGTATGATTGAACGATTTTAACGAAATAAATATCGGGGGTTTATAAAAACGTTTTGAACTACATAATTCAATATTTGAACCATTGTAATACCAACACATACGTCTAAATGCTGCTTACTCTCCACAAGGTCTAAACATTCCTGTTTGTGTTTTGAGAATGATCATGATGGTATAATCATGAAAAGCATCAAACTAGGACAAAATGCCTAACAAGTACTTCAGTAGTTCACCAGGAAAGCTAATTCATAATTTGAACTACCTTCATGCAAATAATGACTTATTAAAAAATGTAACCTAAAAAGTGACATTATACTGTAGTTGAATGCTCAATCTCATAGCAGACAATAGTTATAATATCCGGCTATTTAACACCACAAAAATTATATTCACAACAACTGAATCTTTAAAATTTATCAAAGATAAAATCCTACTTTCCATTTTTAAACTTTAAAGAAGTTACATATCTGAAATACCATTATTCTTAAACTTAAATTATTCAAAAATGGATTGTTTTAATCATCATTATAACCATTAACTATCAACTTACACGTCTTGTTTGTTCTCTAAGTTCTGGTGGAATTGTTGATTTTCGACCTCTTCTTGAACAAGTTTTCATATCATTCGATTCTATATTTATTAAGTGAATTTTTTTATTTCCATTATTCTCTATAGGATTAACATCCATAGTGTTCATTATTATTTTCATTCAATACAAGTTAAATTTTGTATTACATAATCAAATACAATTGACTATCATATTTATAGTATTTTTTGAATAAGTCATAACAATTACTCATACTTATATCCAATCAAATTAGATTTCCTTACTCTATTCATAGATGGAGATGAGGGGTAAGGGAGTTAATTAGATAACAATATTGCAATCATATGTGAGCATTTTTTTGTTTTCAAATAAAAGGGATGCTGTAAACAGTTAACCAATAAAAAATAACTAAAAACTCATTGTATAATAATGAGCTTAAACTTTAAGTAGTTTAACATTCAGTAATTAAATGTTTTTGTTCACGATATTAGGTCTTAACAGTAAAATTACTTTTTGTTTATTATGTGATTGTTTGTCAAGGAAATTATTTTGGAAATTAGTTTGGTTATGGGGAGACTTTTAGTATTCATGTTCTGCTAAATTATGAAAATAGGAAGGTTTAAGTAGGTATATTTATTAATGCGAGAGTTGAGGTGGGATATCACGCAATTTCATAGTTTATGTCATGAAACATTCTTAGCTAAACAACCAGTTTATATCATGAAGTACTTGACAGCTGCATCGTCCTGCTATGAGACTCATCAACAGTAGGAACATACGAACCCAAACGTGTTGAACTCAAGATATACATATCTTTTACAGGGTGTTAAAGTTTAGAATATCATTGAATGACGACTCAGTTGTGTAAAGGTTAGACTTTCACAGCGAGTATGGAGATCGTGTGTTTTGTTCCCCGAGGGTTTATGAAACTTTACTGTTGATAAATTCTACGCTAGCAAGAAACAGCTTTCTAGTGCTTCCTAAATTTCAATGGTTGTCTAACTAAGAGTTTTCTTTGATGTGAACTGTAATATTATTTAGTTGGGAAAGTCTAGACATGAAAACGATTAATGAGTGAATCACTTTAAAATTTATGCTCATAATCAATAGCAGCCAGCAATTGGATTGAAGATAGAACATATGGTTAACAATAACAAATAATTTCTAACTTTGTAGAAGTTTTAATTTCTACACGTGTAAGTCAATTAAACTCTGTGAATTTATATAGAAAGATTTCTCAAACTCTAAAAGTGATTGTTTATGTCTTCAAATATCAGTTGGTTTATTACCGGCAAACACTGACAGCAGAATAGCTGCGTAATATGGCTGTGAAGCTCCTCAGGCATAAGTATCTAAAATTCATTAGAAACTGAACCAAGTATATTCAGGTCTTTCAGCAAGCTCTTAGCATATAGATCACTGAGATCCCATCCAATATTTTACATCCTTAACTTCAGTTAATTCGTAAATGTTTTATTTGAAGACACCATTTAAAACTTATGTTAATATTATTAAATGAAATTACCTCATAGTTACAAGTACGGTAAGGTAATCCCATTCATATCCAGCAAATAATTTCATATATTTGTGGTGTATTATAAATTCTTAAAACCAGTACGCATTAGGAGTATTAATATTCGATCAGAATAACCAATCCCAGTTTACTGAATCAATTTATGGATCTTTTTCCTCATACAAATTCAATTTTCACCTAATTTCTAATGCCCATGTACGATTTATAGAGGCCTTTGTCATTTTTAAATACAAGAACCGATTACCATCGTACAATATTGATTAAACAAAGTATCATTTGAATCCCAAAACATCGGAACTATACAAAAATTTTGTTAGGTATCTTGGTTACGAACAGGGCTTTGCAATTAATTAGTCTACTTCTTTATAGTGATATTAGAATGTATACACTTACGTAGATATTTCTATCAAGCATTTCTTTATGATTACATATTATCTTCATATATTTGGTATTGAGGAAATCCTATTCATAAGTAGTCGGTTACTTCCAAGTATTGGTGACAACTGATAAGTAACTCGTTTTGTCCTATCATGGAACTCCTCAAAACTGCGCATCCACGGTCCCGCCTCGCGAGATTTAGACCCAGGACCTATCAGTCTCGCGAGCGAACGCTTAAAACCTAGACCAACAGTGTTGATGTCTAAATTCAACCAAAATATAATATAGAATTAAGCCATTAATAGTAAAAATAATACGCCACGAAATTGAGCGACATATCCACTATTGTCTTCAGTGAGTTACCGACTCACAACAGACCCGATTGAACTGCACTGGTCACTGCTTCTCACTAAAACTCTAGAAAATGCCTGTTGAAGCCAATATTTACTAACAATTAGTTACTACAAATATTATAATTTAATTATTTGGAATTTACGACATGTGTATTTCACTCTTTCTCATCAATCTTTTCGGTTAGATGTATAATGACATTTATGTAAATTAATTCCAAGGGATCATATTCAATTACATATGTTTGTATGATAATTTATAATTTGATATACATTTACCAATCTGTTGAACACTTAAAAACAATATGGGAAATTGAATATTTTGAATTCACCAGTGATTGTATAACTTCATTACGGAAATTTTTTTTAGAAAAAAACTTATTTCAGATGCACTTTATGTTGTAAACAAACGTGAATTTTTTAGTTTTAGTAAATCCGAAATCATAAATAAATATTTCATTAACTAACGGTTGTTAAGGAGACGTCAGGTTCTAGTGTTGAACTGCTCGAAACCTTATAATGATAATTCCGTAAGGAATAAATTTAACGACTTCAATATATCACAGCACTCTCTACAAAACCTTTATATTAATAATAATTATATACTCGTTAGTGACTAGATTCTGTGACGTAGTTGTCTGAGGTCTAGGAAGAACAGAGTTTAGTTAATTTATAACATCAGCATGATATTCATTTAATTTAATCAGTTATACCTATCTCATCGCTCATTTTTTATTTCATATAGAACGATATTCTTTTAGTCCTCCAAAGAATCTATTTTACTGATTACTACATGGTAGTTCTTACTTTTTGATTAAACATCTTGAACTAAAATCAGAACCAAGTTAATTCTTGACTAATAAATTGATACGGAGTCGTGGATGTGTACACTATGACGAATTGACTGTTCAGTACTTCTAAGTCTTCAATGATAGTCTAAGTAAGATTAATTCATGATCTAAATCATCAAAATAATAGAAATTGAACTCCACTTATTGCAATATTCAGATTATCGAGAACAGTTATATTTCGTTTGTGTATTCTATCCTGTATAGTATTTGTCACTTTAGATTACTTTCATTCTATTTAATATTATTATACTGTTTAGTAGTTACATCAGTTATTGCAACTACTAGACACATGAATTCCAAATAAGTAATATCTCAATCATTTTTTTCCCTTCTAATCTTTCATTTTATAAATTCTATACACTGATTATAAAGGTGGATCAATAAAAATCTTATCATGTATCATTCATAATACTCTTAAACTTAGACAAACACTTCTAATAAACTTTCTTGTGTATTAATTAGATTTTCTATGAGAAATCTATGTTAAATCAATAAGATGATCAACAATGATATAAGTATACTGGTTGATTATATTAACATGATAATGAAATTTCCGTTATAGTGTATAAAATTGTTACAGATTAGAGTTACGTAATATTTCCTCTTTTTTTATCTTTATTGAATTACTAAGAGGATAGAACAAAAAAACTAATACAGAACTGATGTGTATTCATGAAAAATCAATGATGTACCATAGTGGAGCTTTTGTTTGTAAACAGATAAATTAATTAACATTAAAAAAAAAACATTTTGATGATATAATCCTTTTATTCATTTATTAATCATTTAAGAATATACCGATTAGTTTATTGTATTAATATAAATCTAAATGTCTATTTGTGTTTGTTTGCTAGTTTGACGAATAAGTTAATTTTCATTAATGTTGATATGAAATTTAAACAAAATCACCCCCCCCCCAATAAATGTGTCAAATGAACTATCTAAATGAAATTTCACTTAAAACAAAGATAGATGGTGGCTAACAGTAGAATTCAGGATGTGAATTTCGTCCTATTTCTGACTTGTTAGCTGGATGCACCTGCACCACAGAGCTGATGTTCATTCCAAGATTCGAACCCAATGCCGTTCACTTTAAATATCATATTATCCACTAAGCTATTGAGCCCTAATTCCACTGCTAGCGACCATTCATCTTTGCTTGTAATGCTTGTGACTTAGGGCAATATCTAGGTAATCCACACAGGAAGAGATTCACCAATTTCAGTCCTAAACATTAATGAGAAGATTCAAACAAACAATACAAAACTAAATTAAAACCTCACTTTGTTTTAGCCTGTGATTGTTGTTTATTTATGATTTACATATTCATTCTTAGATTTAGCCAAAATTGGTGGAATGCTTTGTAGTTTGTTGAATTTATGCCTTCTGAATACTACATAAATTGTGAAGATAAAAAGACTATTTGAATCAGTATCATCTTACAATTAATTATAATAATTGTAAATATATTCAACTATCTAGTTTAGTAGTGTAATAATTTAGGAATCATGTTTGGTATCAAAAGAAAATTGGCTACTTGATCTTCAATTAAATGACATTAGAACTAGTGAATTTATTGCAGGATCAAACATATTTCAATCTTTATTTAATTCATCTATTCCTCTGTCTGAGTATCATGTGAATAAGAGGTAAGAAACCAACGATGTTTCACAGCACCATCTACTGGTTAATTTGAATGTGGTTTTATTGAAATGGGAAATTACGACAGACGAGTTATACGTTAAATCGGAAAATGAACTGTTTGCATAATTAATGATTGTATATCAATATAAACTCTGTAATCGCAATCTAAGTACGAATTGTCATCTTTGGTTTTCTTCATTTTTATCTATAGAAGAGTAGTTTTGATAAACACACTTCTATATATATATTTTTGAGTAACCATAACCGTTTATGCTATATTGGTCGTCATAGGTTTTTAAGGCCTCCAGGACCATTAGAAAAATCTTCCAATAAAATATGTTACAAGACGTTTTATCCGTGCATTCAAAACGATATGTATCCTGAAATATTCGGATTTGGTTATAA